CCCCTTGCAGAGCGCCCATCTGCAAAGCGGACCCTCCCGCCTTTCCCTGCAGCTCCCGCTCCCGCCTGAGAGGACCCCCCCCCTTTGCAGCCCCCCCCCTTGCAGAGCGCTCCCCCCCACCCCTCTCCTGCCCTCACCCTTGCAGAGCAAAACTCCGGGGGGGGGCCGAAATCGAGGGGGGGGCTGGCAGGGGGGGGGGAGGTGCCGAGCACTGAATTCGACAGTTAATGAGGTCCCCCCCTCCCCCCCCTCCCTCCCTCCCAAGCAGAGCTAAAGCTCATGCTGAAGCAGAGCTTCAGCTTAGACTTCTTAAACTCACACGCCGGATGGGTGGATTTTGCTGGCAGTGTCAGACCAGGGTGTAACGATCTGTTGCTAGCAATTTCAGGGCTGATTCCAGATGTTGGCGGTTTTAGGCTGGCAGGTTCGTAAGCAAAGGGTGACGATGTTCTCAGCGGTTCTAGGCTGGTGCATGTGACGTCATGCTGTTGGCAGTTTTAGGACAGTGGGGAAAGATCGGATGTTGGGGAGCGAGATCGCAGTGGAGCGGAGAGCCCACCACTGGGAAGTCGGTTTCGGTTTCGTGTTCGTGTCGTGCTTGCGGGCGAGGCGAAGCTGCGTGGGCGCGCGAGGGGACAGATGCCGCCGTGGCTAGGGGCTGTGGAGCCAGTTGTCCGCCCCTCCCCCCCCTGGCGCGTGGTGGCCGGGGGTGTCCCTTTGGTGGCGCGTCGGTGTCCCGTCGGTGTCCCGTGGGTGGCGCGGGGGTGCCTCGTCGGTGGCGCGGGGTGCCCCGTCGGTGGCGCGGGGTGTCCCGACGGTGGCCCAGGGTGTCCCGCCGTGGTGCCTCGATGGTAGCTCGTGAGATCAGTTGTGAGATCAGTTGTGAGATCGGTAGTGAGATCGATTGCGTGATCGATCGTGTGAGATCGATCGTAACACCGAGAGATGGATAGTGAGACCGATAATGGGATCTATAGTGATATCAATAGTGGCGTCGACAGTGAGGTCGACACTGAGAACGACAAGCGAGATTTCCCTGTGGTGCCCACGTTGTGTCCCAGGCGCCTTGCGTCGATCACGATCGTCGCGTCGCAGTGGAACGTAGAGCCCCACACCGGTGGCCTGGTCGGAGGTGCCCCGTCGGTGGCGCGGGGTGTCCCGACCGGTCCAGGGTGTCCCGCCGTGGTGTCCCGATGGTCTCGTAAGATCAGTTGGGATATCGATAGAGGGATAAAAAAGGATATCGATTGTGAAATCGGTAGTGAGATCGATAGTGGGATCGAAGCAGCTGTATGGGCGGGCCATTATGCATTTTGCACCAGCAGCGTCATCGTGCATCGTCGCCGTCTCGCATGCGTAACGACAGTACCGTCGCCATCAAAGTCATCACAGTTGTCGTCATTGAGTTCTCCCTCTCCCCCCGACCTCCTTCTCACCCGAACGGTGGTCGTATAGGTATAGCGCTGCCAGTGTTTGGGGCCATGTGCCAGGGGCTGCGGATACCGTGCTTGCGGGCTTAGGCCAAGTAGTGAGGATCTCTTTGCCGGCAGTTTTCGATGGCAGGGAGCTCTTTGCCCCATGACACTGGGGCCGCTGTGGGGTCTGGCACAGTGGGGCGCCGGCCAACGGCCGAGTGCGCTTGCAACCACAGGTCTCGTCCGCACGCCTTGCTCTGCGCGAGACCAGCTCGCCGGCGGACTGGCTCGCCCCAACCGCTTTTCGCCGGCGGACCGCTGCGCCAGCAGACGGGCTCGCCGGCGGACCGCTTCGCCAGCGGACCGCTTCGCCGGCGGACCGCTTCGCCGGCGGACCGCTTCGCCGGCAGACGGGCTCGCCGGCGGGCCTGCTCGCGGGCTTGTGCGGGCGGGCCAGATCCCGCGGGCTTGTGCGGGCGGGCCGCCACGAGGGGGCCGTCACGGGCGGGCGGCCCGGCCCTGGCGGGCGGGCGGGCGGATGCTGACGGGCGGGCGGGGCGTCAAAGCGGGCGGGTCGTCGCGCAGCAGTGGGGTCCGTCGGCGCAGCGGCCCGTTGGTGAAGTGGTCCAGGCAGATGGGTTTGGGCGACCTGGTCCTCGGTGAAGCGGTCCGTCGGCGAGGCGGTCCGTCGGCGATTTGGTCCTGGGCGAGGTGTGAGCTGGGCGAAGTGGCTTTGTCGGCGAAGGAACGGTTCTCCGCGATCGGTTTTCGGGCTTGGGGGGCGATCAAGGGGGGAGGAGAGGCGTCTGCCCTGAGGGGCCCCCTGGGGCCCCCAAGGTGCACGAAAGGTGCGTGTTTCTTCGCCCCCCCTCTTAACCCCCCCCTCCCCCCCTTACTTTGCCCCCATCAGGCAACGCCCAGGATTTTGCCCCGGTGACAGTGCTCGGTGCAGGCCCAGGCGCCGCGAGCCTGCAGATTTTCGATCGATCCCCGCCGATTTGGTCCGAGGGACTCGCATGCAGCGTGGTGCTGCGCCCGTGTACATGCTCGGCCCCGGGCGTTGGGCGGGTGGCGGACCAGGGGGCGAGCTGACTGGTGGTGGTCCAGCTGTAGGTCTTATGTCCCGTCTACGCTTTTCTCTCTTTGCCCGCCCCCCCCCTCTCTCATTCTCTCCTCTCTCAGTCCATTCCGTTCTGTGCGTCGCCGCTCCTTGCTGGGGAGGGCGCAGCCGTAGGTCACCCACGACGAGCTGCGTATCGCTTCGGAGCAGGTCGCGCAAGAGGCCCCTGGGGTACAGTTGCCGGCGCGCTCCGAGGAGGAGGGTTAGGAGTAGGAGGAGGAGGAGGAGGAGGAGGAGGAGGAGGAGGAGGAGGAGGAGGGGCTCCGTAGCCATTTTGGCTGAAGTCCGTAATGTTTCGCTGAGGGACTTGGCATTTGGCGTGGGGGGGATTGCGGCCCCCGCAGCTTGCCCAGGCGTCTGCCCGCCTGGCTCAATTTTTCATTACGTTCCCCTCAAGGTACATCTCGGCCCCTCTCTCTCTGGCCCGACGGTGTCTTCTGGTTCTTCTCGTCATCCGTGGGTGTACACCGAGGGTGCAGAGAGGGAAGAGTGGTACATCAAAGGTCGTGGGCGTGGAGGCAAGTTCAGTTCGATTCCTTGTGGTGTTTGCGGCTGTCGCAAGAACCTGTCACACATCAAGTGGTGCAAGCACTGCAAGTGTCCCCTGGTGCACGTCGTTCCCGTGGAGCCCAAACCGCCTGGTGGTCAGTGAGCCCTTCGCGACAGTTGGGAGGTTGCAGACTTCACCGGTGCAGGCAAAGGTAAAGGGACGAAGGACAAGGGCAAGAGCAAGGGCAAGGGCAGTGATGTCTTCGGCGCTGCTGGCAGTGGTCCTGCCTGTCCTCCTGGTCCAGTTCCAGATCTGTCAGCAAGTGAAGCGCGCACGTTGGCAGAGCTTTCTCGGAAGGCAGGTGATGCAGTGATCTCGCGGTGTTACGAGCAGCTGGCGTCCTCCCTGCCAGCTCCCAAGCCCAAAGATGTGGTTGTGCCTCCTCAGTGGCGTTTGCAGCAGGTGGCCGCAGACATGAAGAAGGGGCGCAAGCTGGAGCATGAGTTTGGCAAGCTTTGTCGTTGACGCTTTCATCTCGAGGATCAGACGCACTTCGTGTTGCAGTGCAAGGCGGATCTGGCTGAGGCCGACGCTCTGTACAAGCCTGTTGTGCAGGAGATGGCCTCGGCGACTTTGCCCAAAGAGGTCGCCCCAACAGCTAATCAGGTGGGCATCAAGGATCTCTGCGACGGCAAAGTGGCCTTCGACTCCCTCTTCATCTTGGACAGTCTCTTCAATGTGCAGAAGGAGGTTGAAGAGTCTGAGCTCTTGCCTGATGATGAGCAGGAGCTCGCAGCTCGCAAGCAGGCCGTGTCCGACTCCATCAAGGAGCTGGCCTCCAAGCTCTTCAAATGTGCTCTCGAAGCTTCGGCCGCCGCAAAGGCCAGTCATGAGGGCCATGAGAGCAGGCTCACCAGGACGAAGCGCAAGACCGAGGAAGGCGTTGCTGCTGGGGGCTCTGCGGCCGTTCCGCCCGCTCCGCCCGCTGGTGCTGGTGATGCAGTCGGCAGCTCCCCTGGTGCTGCTGGGTCAGGAGGACCTCCGCTACCAAGGGCTCCAGCTCCTGCCGCCGCCGCCCACGTGGAGCACGTCGAGGACATCAGGGTGCGGGCCGAGCGCGAGCTGTCAGGGGTGCCCCCTTTCCGCTGGGCCCGCTTCAGCGTGAGGGGGTGATCAAGGATCCGTGTATTCGCAGCTGGTTCTCTTCGACGATTTCGCGTTCGTCATCCTCGTCGGCCACTTCTTCTGGGCAGTCTGGCGGTCTTGCGGCTGCAGCCCCCGACAGGAGGGGAGCTGCAGCACATCTTGCTGCTGTGGTCTCGGCGTTGTCTTTTGAGGGTGGTTCCAGCCTCAGGTGGCCTGGAGTTCCCCCCCCTTCTTTTTTCCCATTTCGCACAACGTGTCAGGGCTGGCTTGTGCGAGGCTCTCCGGGCAGTCCTGGGGCGAACCTATCGGTATTCTCTCATCCCCACTTTGCGCTGGGCCAGGCGAAGAAAATAACTTGACAGGGCCAGGGGCTGCAGGCCTGGACGCGCCATTCTCGTTGCTTGAGCTTGCAGTTTTCTGTGGCGTATTCATTTCAGGTGTTGGAGCTGATCCTGTCATTCGCGATATTTGTGGCCGGATGGGGTCCCAGCTTGTGCTGCTGCTGCATTCTCGTTGTTCGCGTGCCGCCGGCAGACGTGCGCAGGGTCAGTGCCCTTTCCTTTTCCCCGCGTTTCTGCAGTCAATGCCAGTGCCTGTGTCGCCAGCGTGTCTCCAGAGTCCGAGGTCCCAGGTCCGTGGCCCCTCCAGGTCCTGGCCCATTCCGATTCCGTGGCCCTCGCCATCTGGATTGTGAATGTCAACGCTTGGGGTGCTTTTCCAGACCTTCTGGAGTCGGAGCCCGACGCGCGCATCTTGCTGGTCGAGGAACATCGTTTTCGGGATCCTGAGGCCCGTCACCGCGCCTCGTCGAGCTGTCTTCGGTTAGGCTGGAAGTCTATTTGGGTGCCGGGCATTCCTGGCCCGCAGGATGGAGATAGCTCGGGTGTTGCGGGTCTTGCTCATGATCGGCTCGGCCTGTTTGAGGTTGAAGGTGGCAACGTGCTCAACGGCAGAGTGCTGTCTTGCATGGTGCGCGCTCCCGTTTCGCCAGCCTTCTGCCTAAGCTCGCTCTATCTGGAGCACTCGGTGGGCCTCGGCGCGGCCAACTCGCAGGCCAAGCTCGGTGAGTTCTTGACCAACCTTGATAGCGAGTTCGTCGTGGCAGGTGATTGCAGCTATGATCCAAAGGTTCGCGTTCATCGGGGTTCGTCTCTCTACGGAGGCCCGCGCCCACTTCCCCTCGCAGGGCAGGTCTGGCGTGTTTGATTACTTTGTCGTTTCGAGTGGGCTCGGCAAAGGTATCAGCAGCATCGGCGTTGTGGAAGGCTCTTCGTTGCGCCCCCGCAGGCCAGCGAGCCTCCTGTGCCTCAAGGCGCTGGCCTTCGCAAGCCTCCTCCTTTGCCTCCGACTCCCCCTGTGGGGCCGGCTTCCCAGCTGCGTGACGAGGACTGGTTCAAGGTCCTTGATTGTGTTGGGGATGCTAAGGAAACGGTTGCGAGAGGCGATGGTGCTGGTGCCTTCGCTCGCTTGCCGCTCATGTATCAGCTGTGGGCCGATCAGGCCGAACTCGCCCTCGAGCGTTTGCTCGGCTGTGAATTGCCGATCCATGGGTCTCGAGGCGCACCTGTTGAAACCGATTGGAAGCGCATTGTTAAGCCCCTCAAGCCCCCCGAGGATTCCATGCTCAGAGGCCTCGGGTGGCTTGGAAGTCAGGTGTGTGCTCTCCCAGCGGAGCTCGCGGCTCTCGGGGCCCGCGACGGCGAGTTTACGTGCGTGGTAGAGTCGCTCAAGGCACCGCCCCCCTCGGTCGCTGCTGCAGTTGTTGCGGGCGAGGGCCTTTTTCGTCGAGCGGCGAGCTTAGTTTTTTATTGCCCCCGTTTTCTGCGATCTAGATCAGGTCCTCCAAGATTGCGAGGATTTTCTCGCCGACGACCTCGCCCCGCTTGTTTCGAAGGCTAAGGTGAACGCGGTCGCCCGCAGCATGGGTTCCTGGGAGGAGTGGCTTCAGGAGGGGCTCGACTCTGGAGGCAAGCGTGCCCGCGTGGCTCTGCGGGGCCCTGTGCCTTGTAAGGCGACGACTACCCTCGTTAGCCGCGGTTGGATTCGTGCTGATCCCCGTTCCCATATCCAGGCTGAGAGCATCACGTTCAGCAAGCTTTAGGCCTTGGCGTGGGCCCCGACTCGGACCCAGTGGAAATCATTGAGGCCTTGCCGCAGCTGCCCCCCCGATGAGTTGCGTAAGCTCAGCCGCTCGTGCAAGAAGTCCAGTGCTGTTTCTGTGGATGGATTCCACCTTGGGCATTGCTGCCTCTTGAACGATGTCGCGCTGGAGGCATTGGCGGGGATGATGTGGGTCGTCGAATCGGTCGGTCGACGTCCCCAGCAGGTGTCGGTCGTTCTGTTTGCGCTCCTGGGAAAGGCCTCTGGAGGCTTTCGGCCGGTAGGCGTGTTCGTATCCTGGTCCAGACTGCGGGGCAGAGCCCGTCGCCCCCTGGCCCTTCAGTGGGAGTTCGACAACCCCAGAGTCTATTGGGCGGCAGGCGCCCACAGAGGAGCTGCCGACGTAGTGTGGCGCCAGGCCGTCAAGGCTGAATCCGGTGTTGCTTCTAAGCTTGCGTCGGTGTCCCTGTTTTGGGACGTGAAGACATGTTGCGATCGCATTTCGCAGGAGTATTTGGAACATCAGTTCTTGCGGCATAACTTCCCTCGTTGCATGGCCCGAGTGTGCTTGGGGGCCTATCGTTCGGTTAGGTGCTCGTAGTGAGTTTGGACGGGCCCTGCTGGGCCCTCTCTGGGGTCGTTGCTGGCTGCTCGAAGGCCACGAGTTCTATCAGAGTTTTCGCGAAGTCTGCGTTCGATGATATTCCCATCCAAGTAGGTAGTGATTTCGACGCCTACATCGACGATGCAGGCCTGTCTCGGACAGGCGCGCCTGAGGATGTGGTGTCATGCTTAGTCTCGAGTGCCCGTGGCCTTCGCAAGGCCATCGCGGAAGTCTGAGGTTGCTCCTTGGCCATGGGGAAGATTGGCTTGGTGAGCAGCAGCTAGCACGTCGCGCAGCAGATTGAGCTGCAGCTTGGCGCTCTGGCTGGGGAGTCGGCCCCGTCTGTGGTCAACTTAGGTGTGGGCTATGCGGCTGGGCGCGCGCTCCGTGCTCGTGACGCGGGCAAAGGCAAGTCTAATATGTTTTAGGAATGTCGGGCGCTCGCCGGAAGGAACACCCGAAGGGGGTGCAAACGTACGGAGGTCCTCGGCCAAAAACCCCTCCGCATTTTCACCGCGGGCCCTTTGGCGAGCGGCTCCTACGGGGCTGAAGTGTTTGGCGTCAGTGATACCGAGCTGCACTTTTTTCCGCTCCCTGGGGATGTCGACGGTAGCTCCTAAGTCGCAGCGCCGTTCTCTGATTGTTATCTCCTTGCTGGAAGGAGATCTTCCGTGGCGTGTTAGCACGGCTCCTTTGGTTCGCTATGCCAAGGATGTGTGGCTGACGCAGGCTAGGCAGCTAGCGGGGTCCCTTTCCTTCGAGCTTCTTCGTGAGGCGTGGGCCTATGTTTTTGGCAGGGATGGCTGGTCTTGGGCCAAAGCCTCGGGGCCCCCCCAGTGCTCTTCGGATGACCTTCTATAGGCTCGAATGGAGCATGACGTCCTTCTGCGTGTGTGTGTGTGTGTGTGTGTGTGTGTGTGTGTGGGCGATAGGGGGCGCTCCCTTGCCCCCCATCATTCTCTCCCCTAAAATTGTCGCCCAGTTGGCCAGAGCTGCTGTGCTCAGGGGGTTGGAGAGAGATTCGGGCCCAACTTTAGGTGTTCCCCACCGTCTCTGTTGGGGCATTGTTCGCGAAAAGCTTCGATGTAGGAAAATGAGCTATCGGGGTGAGTCCACCATGGGGGCCTTCGCCAGCCGCGCCATTTGGACCAGAGTGGCGGCCAGGAATGCTGGCTACGACGTCCCCTCTGTCTGTGGTCTGTGCGGACAGCGCGATGACGCGCTCTGGCATAGGTTGTTGCAATGTCCTGCTTGTGCCGCCGAGCGTGAGCGCCTCGTTCCCGGCGGTATTCTTGCGCTGGCCTTGGGCGCTGCATCTGAGCAGTATGAGTATACCTTGGGGCGTTTGGGGTTTTGATTTTTTTGAGGCTCTTGCTGAGTGCTTCAGCGACTGCAGGGTTGTTGTGGGCCAGTATCTCCAGGGGCCTGGCCGGTTTTTGTCTCCCAAGCCCCAGTATTCGGGGCCTCTAATTCATGGGGTTTCTGGGGCTGGTTCGAAGATAACCAGCCTTACCAAGGTAGATGTTGACAAGGATCTTGATGAGCAAGGTATCGCCGCCCATGCAATATTCACCAGGAATGGCAATTCTTTTTTCCGATTTGGGGGTTAAGCGTACAGACAACTGGCACCCCAGTTTTTCGGCAAAATATCTGGCAGTTGTTGATTAAAAAAGTCAAGACTGCCAGGTGTGTCATGGACCTTGCTGCTGCCGTGCTTCCCCTATGTCCTCGGGTGGAGTCTCGGGGGTTGGAGCGGGTTCCTCCTCCTGCGCCTCGTGCTGAAAGACGAGACCCTCATCAACGGGCCCGTGTGTCTGGTTTCTGGCGCTGCAGGGTGTGCCTCAAAAGATTCGACCAGCTCCTGTTGTCCAGCCGAGGGCTCGTGTCGAGGCCACAGCAGGCTCGATAGCGTTGTGCTCAGGTGTGTAACCTGGGCAAGATGTGTAAACCTCCGACGACTGCGGGCAACCGAAATTAGACCAATATCAGGCAGGGGAAGCACCCTGATAAAGCAGGAGTGAGCCTCAATCTCGACTTGGCCAAATCTTAATTCCAGTATGTTTTCGCGTTGCTGCAGGTCTCAGCCTCCAGTCTGCAGCTTGTTTTGAGGCGCCGTGTATGGCAAAAAAAGGAGGAGGACGAGGGTATGGTCATTGCCCCTCTTGGGTCTGGTCATTACCAAGTCGTGTTGCCTGCTCTGTTTGCCTGCTTGCCTGTCGTGCTCTGCCTATCTTTGCCCTTCTCCGCCGAGACTGCTCCGGCCAGCTCCCATCGCCTTTTTCCTTTGCTTGCTTGCTCCTATTCTGCTTTTCGTCCTTTCCCATCGCCGTCGTCCTGATCCTTGTCCTCCTCGTTCTTCCCCACCCCTCTTCCTTGCGAGTACCTATATGTGCATATCCACCGTGTCGTGCCACCAACCTTCTTGTTAGCGCGCGGTCCTGGCGTTTCGCATGAGACCTCCACACTGCTCACGATTTTGAAGCTTCACTTTTTCGGCAGTTGCACGGGATGAAGGGCGAAGCGTCTTCAAAATGGGACTCAGGGCCTGGCGCCGTGCACCGTCGTTTCAAGAGGATGCAGAGGTTATCCAGACGATGGCCGGTTTCTTTTCAGAATCGGGCTGTCCTCTCGCGTAAGATTTGTTGGAACACTGGCTGGAGTCGTGAAGTGGTGTAGGAGTTGCACGGACGGAGGTCGGTTCCCCTGTCAAGAAATGGGACGCTTGGCTGGAATTTCTCTACAGTCGCAAAGAAAACTTGTGTACTGTCTAGGTTGACAGTTCTTCAGCAACTGCACGGATGGCGGGCGGCTCCTGAAAGCGCGGCTTGCGCAGGACGTGCGTTGCGTTCCCACCTAGTTGCGTTGCGGTTTTTCATTGTTATATTCCTACCTAGTTGCGTTCCTTGTAGCTCGAATGGTTGAGGGCAGTTCTTGTTCACAACGGAGGTCCCGCCTAAGTGTCGGGCCTCTGTTCAAGGGGGCGCTGCACGCAGTGAAACATACCGTCTTTGACGGCTCATGAAAGGGAAGGGTTTATCGCAGCATCGTCGGCAGGTCTTGGGTTTACCTACTCTGTTCCTCCCTCCCCCTTCCCCTTCACCTCCCAGCTTTCTCAGAACGGGTGTCCTACGCTGTGCTTGCGTCCTCGGGACCGCACCCTCCTGTCCCAAATGATTCCCGCACCCTCCGCGCCCCACACGCTTCCCCCGCCTTTCGCAATGCCAATGGACATCCAGCCAACGTGCCAAGCAGGCAACTGGGGGGCTACGGCGTTGTGCCAGAGGGTGGGGGCGCTTCGCCCCGATGGAAGCAATTGGTGCGAGTCAGTCGCAGAGTCTTTCTTCGATGTGCGGCCGCAACCACACGTGGTGTCACACCGTGTCGCTACCACAGTCCCCGATGTGTAGCCGTTGCGACATCGAGGCACTGGTTGCACTACCCCCCGAGGACATACCTCACGTCGGGAGACAAGGTTCGGCGGCGAGTCCGGGAAGTGAGAAGGGGCGGGCCTTCTGAGGAGGCTTGGAAGCCCCCCGGCCTTCCGAGAAGTTTCCTAAGCCTTTCTCCCGAAGACGCAGAGAACCTCTCCAGAAGGCCCGAGGCCTTCCGAGACGCCCCGCTGCCTTCTAATAAGGCCTTCTCAATCTCATTTCCCCCCTCGTTCGCCGCCGAATGTCATTGTGGGACGCTCGTCAGACGAATGTAAGCGACGCACCTAGCCTGTCCTCTCCTGCTTCCCCCCTGGCTACTGGTGGAAGAGGAGGACTCAGAACTCCGACGTCGTGTTCTTTTCAACGCGGTCCCCTGGAGGTCTGGACCTTCTCCCAGGACGAGCTTCTCATCCTGAGTTGATTTTTGACGTTGCCGGGGCCCGGAAGGGGGCCCCATGGAGGCCGAAAATTGCCCAAGACCTCCCATCGTGCTTTTCTCGACCAGCGAGAGGAGGTGATGGCCCCGGGAATGGGAGGAGGAGGAGGAGGAGGAGGAGGAGGAGGAGGAGGAGGAGGAGGAGGAGGAGGAGGAGGAG